AAGAGGGATCCCCAACTTGGCAACTTTAAGACTTGTGGACTTCAATTCCCAGAAGTCCATGAGTCTTAAAGTTGCCAAGTTTGGAGACCTCTTTCTTTGTTTTGACCCAAACCTTGATCCAAGGAAACAAACACCAGACGGAGGTAACAGCAAAACCTTTTCATGATTCTTTACGAATTCCGTTCCTTCCCGGTTTAAAGGCTGTTTTAAACTAATTGTCTCTGATAACAAGGTGGTGCAAGGCTGCCAAGAACACTAGATAAAGCTACTAAGAAATACTTCAAACACAAAGAGTCTCCAAACACCAACCAAGATAGTCTGAACGTCCACAAGGCTTGAGTGCAAAAACTTCTTTGCTTCCTGCACAGAACTCTGGCTTCTCAGCTGGCTTTTATCTCCTCAGGGAGGGGCCATCACTTTGCAGCCTTACTCCCGAGTTGCCTGTGCGGCTGCAGCTGCTCTTTCCTTCGAGCAGCCCTGTGGGCACACACACTTGGCACAGGCTCCTCGGGGTCCTCTTCATCGCTGCTGCCAGCCTCCACCATCTCCAAAGGCAGCACCGATGGTCCTGGCCCCATCCCTGCCTCCCACGCAAGTCCCTCACCTGAGTCCTCACTCTCCGAGACCTCAGCCGTCCACACCTGCTTCTGGCGAACCACAGCAGTCTTATGCATTTTTCCTTTCCGGCTTCTAACAAAGGTCACATTCCACTTTGCTAAAGTCCATCCAAAATTGTGGTTTCCAGAATTTGCTGAACTATTCTAGGCGGGGCCTGACCAACGCACAATTCTTCTTCTTTTGATGCAGCCTAAGGTTGCATTTTCATTTGTGGGTCAAACTGTTGCCTGCTGGTCTGTTTGTGATCCACCAAGAGAGCCAACAGAATCAGCATCATTGTCCCCAGAAATCTGGGTCCTCCTTTGACCCACCTCGGAAGGACGGAAGGCGGAGTCGACCTCGAGTCAGTCAGGATTGAACTCCTGGCTGTCGGAAGAGTCAGCCTGCGAGGCTGCACTCTAACCACTGCGCCACTAGGGATCCTAATCTCTTCTGAATTTACTGCCGCTTAGTTTATCCCCCCTCAATCTTGTGTTTTGATTTTTCCAACCCACACGAACTACGTGGCGTCTGTCCAGGTTGAAGTTCATCCTGCTGGTCTCTCCCCAGGGTTTTGGCCTCTGAAGACCCACCTGGGCCATGTGGTTGTTCCTCTACAAGAGTCTCCTGCCTCCAATATTTGTGTGACACCTGCAGACTTTAATAACCCCGTTTCCTAATTCCTCATCAGGCGTGTGTTGCACAGCACAGGGCCTACCACAGAGACACGCGGCGTGTCGCGAGCGCGTCCTTCCCAGTGGATGCTGGGCCTTTTGCCACAAGCTCCCTGGCCATGAATGTCCGGCCAGCCCTGTGTCTCCTTTGCCTTCTGGGCGAGACCCTCTCGGGGCTCTTCACGGAAAGCTCTGCGAAAGTCCAGCCAAGCTGCCCTTCCGGTCATGCCTTATAAGGGTCACTATCACGAAGACTATGGTTCACCAGAGCGTCAGTCCACCTTAGCAACTTGGAGTGGACTTCCGCTCCCAGAATTCCCCTGCCAGCCACCTTCCCTCCTCGGGGGCAGCTAACAGATGTGTTGAGCCAGGACGGTCCCCGCGGGAGGAGGAGGACGGCTGAAGGCGGAACCGCAGGGGGTCCCCGGCTGCGCTCAGCGAGTGCTAGCAAAACACGGGCACCACGTTCCCACCGTGGCAGGAAGAAGGCAGCTTGGAGACGGGAGCTGATGCAGCCCCCCCCCCTTCCCCCCATGGCTTGATGGTGGCAGGAGGCAGTGGAGGAGGAGGAGGAGGAGGAGGAGGAGGAATCCTGCCCACACGCACCCTGCCACACTGAGAACAACAATCCAGCAGGGCAGAGCTACAGGGGGGTGCCAGAACATGCCGAAACTGTTTGTGCCCAGGAAAGAGGGGGCTCCTGGGAGGAAGGAAGGAGGCCTGGGGGCTGAAAGGAAAGGCAGGCCGGGTGCCAAAATGTGCCGTGAGTCGATGGGAGCTTCCACTGCTCGATGCTCCCTCAGCACCAACAGAGGGAGAACATTTGTAGCTCGGGGTTGATATGGGGGGGGGGGTCCCTGGTGCTCTCTGAGCCTGGGGGGCTTTCTTGCAGGTGTTTCGTGACCCAACTAGGGAACACGATCAGTGCTAGAAGGGAGGGGAGTTTATGGAGGAGGAGGGGGAGGAGGAACAGGGAGGGGAGGAGAAGGGATGGAAGAGAAGGAGAAGGAGGGAAAGGAGCGGAGGAGGGGAAGGAGAAATGGCGGAAGGTCGAGGAGCAATGGAGGATAAAGAAGAAGAAAGAAAGAAAGAAAGAAAGAAAGAAAGGAAGGAAGGAAGGAAGGAAGGAAGGAAGGAGAAGGAGAAAGGGAAAGGGAGGAGGAGGACTGTGGGGTCCTTGGTGCTCTCTGATGGTGTTCTCGGTGGTTTCCTTGCAGTCGTTTCGTGACCCAACTAGGGAACATTATCGGTGCCAGAGGGGAGGGGGGTTTGCAGGGAGGGGGAGAAGGAGGAGGGGGAGAACTGTGGGCTCCTTGGTGCTCTCTGAGCTTGGGTGTTTTCTTAGAGACATTTCATGACCCAAACTAGGTGACCTCAACGTCCTGCTCAGCTGTCCCCTTACACAAAACCAGAGCAGGTAGTGCAAGAGTAAGAACGGAGGGAGCTCCAGGTGGAGGCAGGGAAGTGGGGTCAAGTGGGGAAGTAGCCTTGAGTCCCTGCATAGCCACAAGAGGCCTAAGCCTGACCGTCCCCCCCCCCCCCCCCCCAGTCCCGTGGAACCTTCTCTGGTGGTTCACAAGGGAAGGCAAGCAGTCTGGGGAAGATTCCTGTAATACAGGCAGAAGGCAAGGAAGTTGCTGACTTGGCTCTTTCATGAGTGGACCGGGTCGCTTATGATGGGTCCGGTCACAGGACCCACCACAAGACCCTCCCCTGACGGGATTCCCTCCATCACAAGACCTACTGACCACATGAGGTCCTGGTCAGTGGAAGAACACGGACATCCCCTAAACTCCGCTGCAGATGTTGCCTGGCCTGGTAACGAAGCGTTAGCAAACCATCCCACAAGCTCGGAGAAGGAATCCCCACCTTCTTCCTCCACCTGAGCTACAGGTGTTCTGCCACCCCCACACCCCCAGCCTTCTTCACCCCCACACGACCAGCCACCTGCAGCAGCTTGGAAGCACCTCAAGCAGCCCCCTGGGGCAAAAACCGTTGATCATCCCAAGCTAAAAGGGAGCTGGGGGAGGGGCTCCACAGAGAAGGGCGGGGCTCTCACAAAGGTGTCCCAGGTTCAAGTCCTGTCAGACACGGATGCTCACCTGTGGGACTTCTCTTGACAGAGGAAAAACGGGATCCTAAGCTTCTGGAGAGAAATATGAATATACACCAAGGTGGGATCTAGGGGGCTGGTGGAAAGGAGAACGGCCCAGCTGGTAGGTTGACGGGCCACGAAGTGTGTGGGAAGCCCATCTTCCAAAGACTGGTGCTACCAGCCCTTCAAGGTAGGCCACGTCAGGAAACAGAACTCCAGGGTTACGAAGTATAACAAGAGAATCTCGACATCCTGATCCTGATCCAGACGGGGCAGCCTTGAGTTTGTTCCTCACCCGCTCCTGACTTTGTGGGCGCCTTCCTGACGATCGTGGTGTGGCCTTCTCCAAGGTCACCTCCTCTCCTCTAGGGCAGACTGTAAAGGTTGCTCTGCCTCCTGAATATCCTAAATTCCACCCCAAACGGTCCCCAAGGAGTCAGATTTCTCCTGCAGCCAGCCCAGGACCAAATGTCCACGGAATCTTTTCCCCGCCTCAGTTCAGCATCCCCAAAGAAAACCCTCCGACTCCCCAGGATTTACGGCGGTGCTCGAGACAACCGTTGCAAGGGACTCCCTGCATACAAAGCAGCTTTGCAGTCCATGAAAACACCGCCTCACCTCCACTGATACCCATCCAGAGCGTCACGCTTTGCCCTGGTTCTAGCGCCCCCAACGCTGGAACCTGCTTTTCCGGCCCCGTGGCCACCTCTTGGCCAACCCAGAACCCTACATGGGGTGGTTCCCCTCAAGTACAGGGCAATTCATGGTCTCCCGGTAGCAGCCGCCTTTGGAAGAGGCTTCCACCTTCCGAGAGAAAGTCTAGGTCACCTGAAAAAGTCACAACCGAGAGCCAGCTGGTCCTAAGAAACCGCCTGGAAGTGCACGAGGGATCCGCTTTCTCTTTGCCTCTCACACAGATGTAACAGATGCAACACACTCAGGACCCACAGAGCCGGGAGCCTGCACAACACCTGCTTCACCTTTCTAGCTTGCAACCCTGCAAGGTTGACCAGCTTGGGCACTGGCACCTCTTAGCCTTTTCCGGAGAGCAGAGGTTCCTTGATTCAGTAGACTCCCCCGGACCCCAAAAGACACCTTGCTTTCTTGTTTCTTTCAACGTACCAGAAACACCCCAATGGCACCAATCTTCCCCAGAGGTGTGTTGCTAAGGAACTGGGGAGAGCTACGGGGGAAGAGATTTAAGAGGGAAGATGTGGAGAAGATGTTGTCCATCAGGATGAGGAGCAATAACGTTTCCTCCGCTAAGGGCAGGGCCCCCCCAAACTTGACAACTTTAAGAAGTGTGGACTTCAACTCCCAGAATGTCCACAGTTCTTAAAGTTGCCAAGTTTGGAGACCTCTGGATAAGGGCATTAGATCAGTTGCTGAAGACCCATAAAGCAGCTGGTGCCATCATGAGGTCCAGTAGCTTGTAGACCATCTTATGAAAGCAGCCCTCTCACTGTCCTCCAAAGGCCCTTCTAGGCACGGCAGGACCACCAAACAGCCGAGCCCTCAGCTTGTCCTGCCTCGTGGCTCTATGGGGCTAAGGGAAGCCAACAGCCCCCAATGGGCACCTTGGTCCTGGCCGCCCCTCTTCGATCTCCCCCCCCCCCCCCCCGAAAGGGTCTTACCTAGTCGGGCATCGAACTGCCGCATCTGCACTTCCTCGACGCATTCTGCCGGGAACCAGCCTGTCCGTCCTTTCACGGTTCCTTCCCAGAAGCCCCCTTCTCCGATGCTGAGCACTGCAGGGGGAGGGGAGAATGGGGGGGGGAGGAGAGTCAGATCCACTGATGTTAAGCATGAACACGGAGGGCTGAAGGAGGGCTGCCCCTCCCTCTTTGACACGATCCCACCATTCCAGGTGCCCACTGGAGACCCCCCCCATGGCCCTCTCGCTTCCCTTGTCCCGCCCACAGGCCTGCTGAGAGAACCGCTCGTCAAAACTTATGGATTTTCCTTCCTATGAACATCTGCATCCATTTTTGTTGGCAGTTTTGTAAACTAACGTCTCCTGCCAGTGCTTTGATATCACCCAGACCCCTAACTCGTGCCAAGTTATACGATGCTTCCTCTAACCAATTCCATTTCGCCCCCAAAAGGCACTTTCTGATTCAACTGCACCCCAAAATCCCAACAACTGATAAAAGACAGGGAGAATCCGTTTCCTGTTAGCCCATCACCGCAGGCGTGTGTGAATCAGGGTACGGGCATTGACCTCTGAAGGGAGCATGCTGCCCCATTGCGGCTCCAGCCTCTCGGCCTCTGGGTGAGTCTGCTTCCCAGCCCCACAAGGGCCTGGTCTGGTCTGGTGGGCTCCCACTCCCTCAACCAGTGGAGAAATGCTACCGGTTCGGCCTGGTTCAGCTGAACCGGTAGCAAAGTTTGTTACGGGTTTGGCCGAACTGGTAGTAAAAAAACGCACTGATGATCAGCTGAGAGGAGAAAGGAGGGAAAAGTGCAGGATCGGCCCTCCCACCCTCCCACCCAGCCCTGGGCTTTTCTGTTCTTTATCCTCTCAACTGATTGGTGCTGCAAAGCCTCAGCTGGTGTTTGGAAAGCTGTGCATGCGTGTGTGCATTAGGTGTGCGTACACGCAAAGTGTGCAATCATCGAACTGGCAGGGAAACGGGTAGAATCCCACCACACTTGAGATCAAGGCACCGTCCAGGTTCTGGCCAGGGCCAAGGGTGGACAGTGTGCAGAGGATTCTGGGGTTTTGCAAGGCTGCCTGGGGAATTCTGGGAGTTGAAGACTACAAGTCTTAAAATTGCCAAGGTTGGACAGCCCCGTTTAGAATCTTGGAAGCTTCAACCCTGGAAGACTCTACCACAAATCCTCCCCAGGGAGCGTTCAAAACATCCATAAATAGTAGAAACTTAAGATGATAAACACATCCAGGGCCTCCACCCCGTACTCCAAGGCCCGGATATCTCTCGACATCGGAATGCCGATAGGTATTTCCTCCGTTCCCAAACACCTTTGGGGCCAGGGTCTTTCATGAAATGGGACTGCCCTTTGGAGGGGCTCCCAGAAACCCCCCAGCTGGCATGCAAAGGACATGAAGCACCGGGGTAAATGCCAGGGCAATCCTGGGCTGCATTGACAGAGGGACAGAATCAAGATCACACGACATCTTAGTACTGTTTTATAATGCCTTAGTTACACCACACTTGGAATACTGCATCTCGTTTCGGTTGCCACGATAGAAAAAAAAAAAAGGCGTTGAAACTCCAGAAAGAGCAACAAAGATGATTAAGGAGCCGGAGGCGAAAACACACAAAGAAGGACTGCAGGAATTGTGTGTGTGTAGTTTAATGAAAAGAAGGAATAGAGCGACAACGAGAGCATCTTCCAATATTTGAGGGGTGCAACAGAGAAGAAGGGATTGTTGAGTTATTCTCCAAAGCCCCCGAGGGCAGGATAACAAGCAATGGATGGAAAGTGGTCAAGCAACCCAGAACTAATGAGAAATTTCCCAACGGTTAGAAACCAGTGGGACAGCTCGCCTTCAGAAATTGTGGGTGCTCCAATGCTACAAGTTTTTAAGAAGAGGCTGGACGGCCACTTGTCTGAAATGGGGTAGGTTCCGCTGTTTGGGCAGGGGGCTGGGCAGAAGGCCTCCAGCTCTGCTACCCTGTTCCTGTAAGGATGGCCTTTCTTTGAGGCCCGATGCCCAGCCTTTAGGGCTAACCATCAGCAGCTTCCAACTTGAGAAGTTTCACCCTGAGGTTAGAAGTTTGCTATAACAACAACCAAACGAGCTTCTATCAATACGCTGAAAAGAAAAGGGGAATGAAAGGAACAGGATACCAGCTGGCGCTGCATGAAAAGAGCAAAGAGCTCTCCCGTATCAAAAGAGTTATTCAATTATTTTGGTTCGGTCTTCTTCAACCGAAAAGATGCCTTCCACTTGAAAACTGCAAAGAGTACGGAAATAGACACAGGGTTGGAATGCTTCGTTCCTTGGTCCCCAGAGCAAAAAAGATCTAGCAGCTAAAATCCAGCCAGTGTTAAGTCGGATACCGAGGGACCTTCTGGAGCAAATTGTAAGGAGATGCTTTTGCGAGGCCCTTGAGAACAAGGCAGCCGTCTCCAGAAATCAGCAATGATTTGTCCCAAAAGATTTAGCCGCGGAAGATGCTCGCTATGGGATTGGATCAATTCCTTAATAGATTGTGGGTATTCAAAAAGTCATAATATAACTTGACTCTGGCAAAACATTTGATATGTCCATTAGCACGCTGATTAAAGGTAGGCTAGATGGCATGTCAACTGTCTGATAGTGGGTTAAAAAATGGCTGTCATAATATAATCATTAACAGCTCCTGTTCACGTTAAGGAGAGACACCACGAACTTTGTTCTGGTACCTCAATATTTCTATGGGAGCAGCAGACGAGAGAACAGAAGGAACAGTAACTGGGAGGGGGATCTTGGAGTCCTCGTGGACAATCGCTTCAACATGAGCCAGCAGTGCGCGGCAGCTGCCATAAGGGCCATCCTAGGATTTGGGGCCAATCCCCAGGAGATTGGGAGTCGTAATTCAGGTTTTAAGTGCAAAAGCCACCCGGGTGGCTTTGGGCCAATGCCTCTCCCTCAGCCTAACTCACCTCATGGGGATGTCGTTCTAGGGAAAACAGGGAGGGGGAAATGTTAGGTATATACTGCATCCACTTTGGGTCCCCATCCTGTAAAAAAGACGTTGAGGCTCTAGAAAAAAGTGCAGAGAAGAGCAACCAGGATGGTGAGGGGACTGGAGGCTAAAACATTTGAAGAACACTTGCAGGAACTGGTCCTGGCTGGTCTAGGGAAGAGAAGGACCAGGGGAGACAGGAGAGCATCTTCCAATATTTGAGGGGCTGCCCCAGAGAGGAGGAAGGGGGTCAAGCTATTTTCATTTTATTTTAAAGCACCTTTGAAGGCCAGAGAAGGAATAATGGATGGAAACTGAACAAGGAGAGATTTTTCAACCTGGAAATAAGGAGAAACTTTCTGACAGTGAGAACCATCAACCCATGGAATAGAAGTTGCCTTCATCACTTGAGACCATCAAGAAGAGACTGGACTGCCATCTTTCAGAAATGGTGTAGGGTCTCCTGCTTGGGTGGGGGGGTTGGACTAGATGACCTACGAGGTCCCTTCCAACTCAACTGTTAATCTGTACGTCCATCATAGTGAATTACATAGGAAAAGCATAACGGTGGGATAAAAGTCGTATGAATGAATGAATCAATCAATGCCAAAACGCAAGAAAAATTTCCGAAGATGAAATCCAGAGTGGAGGGTGAGTTTGTTCTGCACTGGACCTGTTCTGGTGGAGGTCGGACATCCCTCTGGACACCTCGGTGCCGATCGAGGCGTTGACCTCCACGACCTCCACCCTAATAAGAGGTTGCCCAGATTCCTCCGCTCTCTCCAGTGGGGCAGAAACAGGCTGTGCTGGTGCAACCCCCCCTCCCCCCCCCATGTGGTTGTGTGTCAGTGCCGAGAACAGCCGGACTCAAAGACGTTCCCTGGCGGTCGAAGGACTTGGCCTCCCGCTTTCCCCTTCTCAGTCTGATATATGCAAGATCAAAGGCCTTTTTTGGGGGGGGGGGGGGCCCGGAAAACCCCCTGCAATTATCCCCTTTCCATCCAGAATGTGTGTGGGGGGGGGGGGCTGGGGGAGGCCAACTCGGTGCAGCCACCATCCAAGCTGCATTCGGGCCTCCTTCATGGGCCCCTCCCCCGCCTGCAGAGGGAGGCCCTGCGAAGCAGCAGCTGGCACAGCCGAAGGGAGGGAGCCAAGCACCCCAGGGCCAACTCGGCCTCCTCCCCTGCCCCCCCCCACCCGCCAAGACCAGCGAGTCTTACCCAAAGGGCAGGGTTGGATGGGGGGCGGGGGGGGAGCAGAGGCTGGCCCAGCCACCCAGATCTTTCCCAGGCAGCTGGACATCAACTGTCCCGTCCAGCAGAGCTTCCAAGGGAGAGGGAGGTCATCTCCTGTCCCCTTCAACAGAGTATCGGAGGGGACCTTGGAGGTCTTCTAGTCCAACCCCCTGCTCAAGCAGGAGACCCGCCTAGACCATTCCAGACCAGGGGTCGCCCAGCCTCTTCCTTAAAAGCCTCCCGTGACGGAGCCCCCACAGCCTCTGCAGGGAAGCAGCTCCCCTGTTCTCACGGCTGGGAAAGGCCCCCTTGGTCCTCGGTCGCTTCTCTCTGGGCTTGTGGGTTCCTGCAGGACCCCAGCAGTGGGGGGTGAGCGAGGGCCCCTGACCCTCCCCCTCCCCTCCCCTCCCGCCGGACCCTCCGCACAAAGGGACCGTTTTTCTGCGGACTGGTTTCTTTCTTTCTTTCTTTCTTTCTCTCTTTCTTTTCCTTCTCTTCCTTTCTTCCTTCCTTTCTTTCCTTCCTTCCTCCCTTTCTTTCTTTCTCTGCTCCCTCAAAGCAAGCCAGTTATGCAGGAGAGGAGGGGGCCAGAGCAGCAGCTGAGGAGGAGACCAAATCAGGCTTAATCAAGGCGATTCACTCGCCCACCCAGCCCTCCTGCCCTGCTTCCACCCCCGCCATCCACCCCTCCAGCCTCGGGGGGGGGGGGGGGGGTGGGGTGGGAAGCCCCCACCCCCCCCCCCCGCCAACAAATAAGAGGCAGAATGGCCCAAGGAGGACTCTGGGATCTGCAGCCTTCATCCAAGGGGCCGGAGATTGGGCTGAAACGAAATCTCTCCACTGGCCAATTGTTTCCGGAGCGATTTCTGGC